TGGAGGCTGAGGTGTGGAGGATCACTGTTCAAAGCCAGCCCCCGAGGAAAGGAAGTGTGAGTCTGATCTCCAACAAACCAGCAGAAAGCTGGTGGTGAGGGGTGGCTCATTGGCAGAACGCCAACCTTAAGCCAAAGAGCTTTTAAGGAGAGTGGGTAGCTTGCCTGCCATCCCAGCCCTTTGGGAGGCTGAGGCCTAGAGGACTGTGGTTTGAGGCCAGCCCAGGCAGGAAAGTGAGACTCTCATCTCCAAGGAACCATCAGAAAGCCAGAAGTGGTGCTGTGGCTCAAGTGGCAGAGCACCAGCTTTAAGCTGATGAAGAGGCTCAGGGCCAGCGCCCAGGCCCTGAGTTGAGCCCCAGTATTGACACACGCACACGTACACACAGAGTCACAGAAATCCGAGGAGAGCTCGGGGGCGTCAGAGCAAGGGGCGACCCCAAGGCCCCTGCCCTTGCTGGCCCTCACACCTTGGGCTTATGTTGTACGCGGCTCCTCACGGCCTCGTCGTCCATCTCCGCGGCCTCATCTTCGTCTGATACGTCTGCCGCCTCCGAGCCACTCGTCCCTCCTGGGGCCAGCAGCCCCCCGACCTTCTTCCCCTTCAGCAGGATCTTCCCCTTCAATTGCTGGGAGGGGGTGGCGGGGGCAGGGGTCAGAGGGCAGCGGGTCACCATCCTCCATCTGGCCTCGCCCTGAGCCGGGCCCAGTACACCTCCACCTTGGGATGCGCCCTGACCGGCGCCCCACACCCCGCATCCGCACCTCGGGCGAGGGCAGGCTGGTGGTCACCCCATCCAGTGGCTTGTCCAGCAGCATGGGCCCCAGGATGGCCCGCAGGTGCCGGGCCATCACACGCTGCTGCTCCAGGCTGCAGTGGTTCTCCAGGGACAGGATGACGGGGTATGGGGACACCTGGCACCCCAAGACACACGGGAGGGGGAGGAGTCAGCATACTGCACGCCACCCCTCCTGGCCAGCTCCCTCTCAGCCTCTGCCCCTCCCCCACCCGGCCAGCCCCCCCCAGTCCCTCCCCCTCCCCTTCCCCCTGCCACCAGCCCCACCTTGAAGGCGTAGTCCCGGATGGCCCGCAGCGCGTCGCTCAGCAGGATCTTGGAGGTGAAGGTGTAGCCATGGTAGATGACCGGCTCCTGGCCTGGCCCATCCCAACAGTCCAGCTCCAGACACCGGCAGCCCTTGCACAGAGCCCTGGGGCACAGACGGGTCGGTCCTGCCCATCCTGCTCCCAC